ATGTAGTATTTATGGGCTAAATGCAAACTCTTTGTGGGAGAAACGAAGCTTCTTTCAGTTGCCTGCATTATCCTGGCATATGGACCTATATGTAGCTGGTCTGTTGGGCTGCAGCTGAATATGGAGCAGTGACAAATGCATAAAACTTACACAGATTCACAGACTTACCCGAGACTTAAAATCCGAATGGAGTGGAAACAGACTGTGCCAGTTACAGCTGCAGCTGACAAGTGGAGAATATCCTCTGTAAAGTGAAAAAGCTGTGCCACAGCCCTTGCTTGCATTCTCTGTCCCACTCGCTAACCTCTGTCTTCAGTGACATAAAGTTAATGTGCTGCTTCATGGAAATTTCATAGAACCATAGAATGGTTTGGGTTGGAAGGGACCTTAAAGACCATCGAGTTCCAGCCCCCTGCCATGGGCAGGGGCACCTTCCACTAGACCAGGTTGCTCAAAGCCTCATCCAGCCTGGCCTTGAAGACATCCAGGGATGGGGCATCCACAGCTTGTCTGGGCAACCTGTTCCAGTGCTTCACCACCCTCTCCGGGAAGAATTTGGTAAATGCAAACTGTTCTTCACAAGCAAACCGTTTTCCCCATGTCCAATAGGAGCTTTTTTGCAGTATTTCTTTAGGGAGCAGAATAACAAATACAGTATATTAACTATTGACTTCTGTGCTTTGAATATTTCTGTAACAAGCAAAATTATACAGGACCAGTTGGTGGATATTTTTTCCCACATTGAAAACAATGTGTTAACAGTGATACTGCAAAACCCGGGTCTTGAGGTTTGGGTGTGTATGTGTTGAAAACCAAGCTTTTACAGTATTTGCCAAGGTAATTAGGAAATTCTTATTAACAATGGCAGCAGAATTATTGCTAGTTTCACCAACAGCTGTATGTATGTATCAACTGTCATCCTTTAATAGATCCATATTGTTCTCAATTTTAGCTTTGATTGCCAGATTTCAGTTTCAAGATAATGACTCTGGAAGTCACAGGTTTTCATTAGAGCTCTGGGTGTCTTACCGAGTTAGGAAACTGAAGTGCAAACAGTAAATCTTTGAGTAGGACTGGGTAAGCCCTTAGTATGGAAAATACTTCATTCACTACTAAAATGTGTTCATTTGCCCTTGGCAAAGTACTGCACTATGCTTGGGCAGTACCTACAGAAGAAAAATGCTGCCAGCGAGGGGCTGCAAAAGCAACGATGGGTAGTGATAGTGCAACTTCTAGAATCCAGATTTGGGAAGAATAAAACTGGTAACTGCGTTTTTCTTTGGAAAACACTGCTTTGTTTTTTACTGATAGGTGGACTTGGGATTTACATGGATGGGACTTGTACCCTCACTGGCAACAGGCTGTTCTGCTAGGACAACGGGTATGTATTATCTACGAGATCTCAGTAGGGACCTCACAAAGGTGATGGAGACAGAATGGAAATGACAGAACTTAACCCATAACCGATGCATTTATAAATAGTTTCTCTGTGAAATGCAGCCTTGAAACTTCAGATTACCCTGGACCAGGACTTCAGATCCAATCCCAGCAAATTCTAAATCCAAAGGAAATATTTGGGTAGCAACTTCTTCTGATGCTAGTGTTGGAAACAACAGCTTTCACCACTCAGCGATTTCCTAGGTCGGGGTGATGCTCTGACTGGCTGCATTTCTGGGTTTTGTACAAGTTAAAAACCCCAAGAGGACAATGAAAAGAATTCAAAGCAGCCATGCGTGGCTTAAAAATGAAGAAACATAAATCCTGTGATTTTGGTAATATGATGTGATATTTCAACAGGATGGATTCGCAGTGGCACGTAAAAAGGATACTGATGTCCAAGTATCTCACTGCTAGCAGTTTTGCTAAATACATACCTTGTTCATTTTGTTTTCTAAGTAGAACATGAAGTATAGTTGTGAACCTCCTGAGAAAATTTGGATTCAGGTTTTATTAGTTCCTCAAACTGTAACCCAGCTGGGAAAAGATTTATGTTAAATGTCAGTGTGATTCTCAAACAGGAAAGAAGTTGATCATGATGAAAAAATAAGGTGCAAAGATAGCTCACCATCCCTCAAAACCCCAAAGCCCAATACTCCCACCAAACCCAAAGACTTCCTGACCTCCTTTTTGCACAACCAGGTACTATCCAGTGGACAGATATAACAAGTGACTGTGTGCATTTTCACATGTAAATTGTGACCTGCTAAGTAAGCAAGAGCCTATCCTTAATTTATGGCAGATGAAAAGGTTTTATCCCATGCTGAGGGACTGGCTGCTTTCTCATGTGTAACGGATAGGGACTGGCTGTTGCTGGTCCTCAGGGATGTGTTGAACCGGTCTAAGGGTATCTGCAGCATTAGTGCTGTACATAGAAAAGTGTACGTTGTAAACTAGCTGGGCAGTTAGAAAGCACCAGTTTCCTGCTGCAGAGGTTTTGAAAAAGAAGTATTAACTTTAAATAAAGGCTGCAGTTAACTGAAGTCCAGTGGAGGGGCTTTAAAGAGGCATCAGTTGGCTTTCAGTCACGCTCGAAGGTTGCAAACAATACCTCAGGGAGTGTAAGGTATAAAATCAGCAGAAACCCAGGGAGCTACGCAACATTAGCTGTCACAAATCACGGCAGAGGCGTGGTGTGGGCAGGAGCTGCAGGGCTGCGGCCCCCCGTGCACGCTGGCACGGTGCAGTACAGCGAAGAGCAGCGATGCCTGCCTCCGCTGCAGCTGAACCCCAACTTGGTGAAGTTTGTTACTGGTTACCCTCAGAGCACTGCAGTGTTTCCGTGAGGATGAAGTTTTTTAAGGGACAATTACAATGAAACTCTTCCTGCTAATGCAAACAAAACTAAAATGGTGATTTTGGTTTTCAACGATTTACCACTTCTGCTATGAGGAGGCAACTGCATAAACTAGCTATTTGATGCAGAGCCCAATGCCTAGAAACTCCCCTGAAGCTTTTGATTTCATACAAATGCTCAAACATTGAGCAAAAAGACCTTGCACATAAGTAGCAAATTCTATTTAATAACTTGCAAATACGTGGCATAAAAATTAAAGATGTTGACGATCCTTGGAAGTCTTCCATTGCACAGTGTGGCAAAGAAGACTGAAGCCGTGCAGGTTGTCAGGAGGGACCCTTGACTTGGAAGTGAAGGGTAGTTGGAGGTGCAGTTTCACACACTGCAGCACGTAGAGGACCCAGGCCTGTCACGGCAGCTTGACTCACAGTGCTGCCAGAGGGAGATGCATTGGGAAGGCACGTGTGCCATGATACACTGTGCTGGTAATGGGTAGGATTCCTGGGAAACCACTGGGGCTAGTCAGGAAAATGCTCTCCTTTCCTAGAAAGCTGGCAGAAAGCTCTGGGCTTGCACGTTTCATTCTGGAGACAGCACAGGGATAATATCTAAGGGTGCCTTTTAACTCTTCCCCCTCTGTAACTCGCCATTGTCTGGAAAATAAAAGGGAAGTTAAATAAGTGAGATTGCGTTGCTCAGCCTGGCAATCCACCCTTTTCAGGCTGATTTCATGCGGACAACTTCTTGTGTAGTCTCAGGACCTTCCTCTTTCTTTCTGCACATTTTAGCATTTCTTTAAAAAAACATTGTAAAAATACCATTTCTTAAAAATATCACTTGCTTGGGTGTGGGGACAGAGTGAGTTGTCTTATCTCACTTGCTTAGGCAGACTGAATTTTAAAAAACAGTTTAATTTCAGGTGACACATGCTGTACTTAAGTATACTTAAGGCAAATAAGACATATAAGTCTGACAACAAGTCTGGAGTCTGGAAGTCCACTTATAGCTGAAATTTGTTAACTTGGGCATATAGAATACATTTACACCTAATACAAGGTATTTTATGAAAGGAGGCTGTTAAACTCTAGAGTGTGCTGAATGTTCAGTAGCAAAAAATGGAACATGCAGTATTGTGGAATTGCTGCAATTGTGGAGTTATTGCATAAGGACCACAAAGAAAGGGCCTACTCCTCCAACTGATACTCTAGAGCAACTCTTTTATGTTACTTGGAAATTGAGAGCATTTCTTGAGATTTGACATAATGCCAGTTCCATCACTGTATAGAAATAGGGTCCCACTGGCATGGACTCGTTTTGTGAGATTGGTCTTTGATTTTTCCTTGTAAGGTGATCTCAGCTTCCTAGATGGCAACAGTCCTTTTTCTATTCACCTAAGGCCAGTCTACAGTGCCAACAAAAATCTCCTTTGCTCTTGCAGCAGATGACAGTGGGAGCTTCCCAGGGAAGCCCCCGGGGGAAGGAGTCTCAGTTGTCTGATTGACATTGTCCACCCCCAGTCCCTCGTCATGGCAAGAGTAAAAAGGAGATTTGGAAGCTGTGGAGTGCGCATGCTAAATGTGTCCTCCGGGACACAATAAATCTGGGTACAACTGCAGCTTTCCCTGGGGAAAACAGCTGTGGTGAGGGAGGCCACAAAGGTTGAGGAAGGTTGTGGTATGCAGCATGGGCAGCATGGGCGATTCACAGCTTGAGCGTGACGTATTTGGACCAAGCAGAAGGATGCCCAAACCCATACCCCGAGATCCCGTTGTCCCAGCGTGTACTGATGTCCGTTGATCAAGGTGGCAGCCCCTCGCTCGGCAGGGCGTGTGGGGTTGTGCTGAGTGAAGGGCTCCACCAGACTCTGGCCTTTGGCTCAGCCCATGGAAATCAGGAGATAGCCCTACGGATTTGGATCAGCCCCAGGTCAGGTCCCAAATCCTTAAGGACAGCCCTTGCTCAGATCATGGCATTGTATAAACACCGTGTGCCTTGCTGGCACTAAACACATGTTCAGAAATAACACTTTATTTTTAACAGTAGGATTTTATTAGGTATGAAAGTGTAGGTTAAATGTTGCAATGAATAACTCCCAAATCACTTCCATGTGGTTATATAGCATCAAAAATATACCCCTTTGCTATAAAAAAAAAGTATTCTCCTTTGTTAACATATATTTACATACTTTTCTTCTTCACAGAGCCTTTTAGACAAAGACAGAGCCATCCTGGTCACTGGTGTTCAGGGTTATGTTGCTGTTCACAACGCTTTCCGTGTAGCTAGCTGAGTGGGTGACCTGGTAGCGACTGCAAGGACCACAGAAACACAGGAATGGGCAGTACTTTAAGCAGACGTGATAAAGGTATTTCCTGAATTTTTCCCCAGCAAAGGCATAGATAAGAGGATTGAGACAACAGTGACTGAATGCAATAGTTTCGGTCAGGTGCATCGCGTAGTCCAACGACTTAATTTCGTTGCAACTTGTGAATAACTCATAGTGCTTTAAAGTCTCTAGAAAAATCAGTACATTGTAGGGCGACCAAAACAGAAAAAACACAACCACCACAACCAAGATCAGTTTTACGGCTCGTTTTTTTTTCTGATTTTTGCAGGACAGCAGGGTTTTGATGATCCCACAGTAGCAATAGCATATGATACAGATGGGGATGAAAAAGCCGACGGTGTTCAGCTCCACATTGCAGAACACTGGCCAGATGTTCTCCAGCTCCTGGGGGAAGACCGAAGTGCAGTCGTTTTCTACCAGCTGGGAGAACGCAAAGTGTGGCACTGAAACTAAAACCGCTATTGCCCACACTCCGCAGGTTATAAGAAAGCCATGTTTCACTGTTCTGGATTTCAGAGAGTATGTTGCCCGGACAATGGCCAAGTATCTATCGATACTGATAACAGTGATAAAGAACATGCCCCCAAAGAAACCAATGTAATACAGCGAGGAAACAGCTGTGCATGGAATAGTCCCGAGGGTCCATCCACGCACCGTGTTGGAAGCCCAGAAGGGGAGGGAGATCACAAAGAGAAGGTCTGAGACAGCCAAGTTCAGGAGATAGATGTCAGTGATGCTTTTTTTACTTCCTTCTTTCACAATGGCAAACCCCACCATTAGATTCCCTGTGAGGCCAAGAGCAAACACGGCAATGTAAAATATCGGCAGAAATATTTTCCCAAATTCTTTGATGTCAGCCTTATTGCAGGGAAAAGCTTGTTCGTCATAAAGGTATTCAGCTGTCGTCTCTGTGAACGCTTCCGTCATGCTGAATTGTCTGGCTAGAGGCAACATGAAAAGGGAAAAAAGAGTAACGTTAGCGAGAGAGATCCAGTACCTGCTATGGCAAAATACTGAGAGACCTCACCAACACGCACGCTTTGGGATTTTGTCACTGTTTGGGTTAGTGAGAGCTGTATTACTGCAGAGGTGCTCCTTGGGAGCAAGCATACCTTTGATGAGGATTTTAAAAATCATCCTATGATCCAAAGAAGAGAAACTACTTCCTCGAGCACCACAGCATCTTGTGACTGCTCCCGCCTTGGCTGCAAGGCAATGGGGTTGGAGCCAGGGCTTGTTAGCTTGGAGGCGGCACCCAGAGAGTGGGGAGCAGGTGTGTGACCTCTGGGCTCACTGATCTGCACACCCAGTAACTTGGGGCACCCATCAGTTCCTCTGCGCTGCCTTGGGATGTGGTGTTCAAGTCTCTGCAAAGATTTCTATTTGCAGGGAACCAAAGATTCTAGAGGGATACAGAGGTTAGTGCACTCAGTCTGCTCCCAGGATGGGGTAAAGTGCCTGTGTCTGTTACTTGCTCTCGCTGTAGGAAATGAAGGAAACTGAGTGTGATGCGCTGTGCAGAAGCTCAGGGAGATGACAACACGGCCGAACCAACCTGTTAAAGCTGGGACTGAAAGGAAAGGTTAGTGATAACAGAACTTCAACTAATAACTACCCCTTGGTCACACTGTCACTGTCCTCTTACAGCAAACCCTGCTAACTGTAAAGATGGAACTCAGCTCAGTGCCCATATAATATATATCTTTACGTCTGTCTCCTTTTAGGGGGAGATACGGTCAATGCAGCCAATGAAGGCCAGTGCATCGGATCCAATGAAGGTCAGGCCAAATCTGCTTTAAGACAAGACAGGCTGCTTTCCAGGCTCTGCTGACCACGCTGATGAAACTCCTTTTGAATACAAGGAGAGCACGGGTACGTTACTCAGGGGTGAACGCCGATGGCTCCCACTCCTGGCACTTACAGCGGAGTGGTTGGAATGTCCGTCTTCACTGATGGCAGTCGTTTTTATAGCCTCTGTTTAAAATAAGCCTTGCAAGACTAAGCATGAAGTAAAGATGTCCTGAGGTGTGAGACAGTCCTTGCCCCAGGAGTTTCATATGACGTCGTGGTAACTACAACAAACTCCCCTGTGGGTGGCTACTGTGACCGTATTGACAGTTTTCCCTAATGCCTCATTGCCAGAGTGCCATTTGTGGTGTGGGCCATGAACGTTCTGGCCTCTTATTTTGTAGTCATTTCTCAAAGAAATTTTTGGGGTTTTTTTTGTGCTAGTTGGAAATGCAGGGTCTCCATTTTAAAATCCCTTCTTATTCTGGAAGTTCAAGGCCTAGTTGTTGCCAAAACATTTAAATAAGAGGTGCCTACAGTCATTAGAAAACAATCTTTGTAGTTTTGCACAGGAAGAGTGGGCTAGCAGAAGGGCTGCCTCAGCGCTGGCTGTTTCGGGGCACGGGCACGGCACGGGGAAGGCTGTTGGCAGCAGGCAGGCACACCCGCGGGCTCAGCGGCTCTCACAGTGCCTTCCCACTTGAACTGGGAGCTGAGCCAGCCTGCACGCTCTGTCCAGCCCCTTGCTCGCAGCCCAGTTTAATTCTCCAGCTTCGGAGACATGGCATCTGTAACCAGCAGAATTAAAGGGTACGAATAGGAAACGCCTAGGTGCTTGGGCTGAAGCTGAGAGCAATTGCAAACAAGATACTGATTTTTTACTCTGAGATAACTAGAGCTGACTACAGAGATATGTGACAGGTTCCTCATCTCTTCTTGTGTCTGCCCGGTCATTCCTTTATCTGCCCTGTTGAGGGATACAGAAATGAGCAGGAGACATCATACATAATCCCAATAGCCCATCATTTTCTACCTTCCCATCCTGATGTTCTCTTTCTCCTGAGACTAAATGTACGCAGCAGGTGTCTCTAAAATGACAAGAAGTGTTGAGATGCACCAAGTCTCTTGTGCCGAATATGAGTCACTATGCCAGCCCAGCCAGCTCCTTGCCACTGAGCTGTTCCTGCATCTATCTGCACAGCACCAGAGCCTCTGTCTTTGTGGACTGATGTGCTCCACAGCTGGTTGTTAACCCATGAGCCCGTGTGCAGCAGCGGAGGGCTACCGAAGTGATCGGGGCGGGAGCACCTGGTGCCTGAGAAGATGCTGAGAACTGGGTTTGACCATCCTCAACAAGACTCATCTCAAGGGGGATCTAGGGAGAACGTGTAAAAGTGAAGCAGACAACTTTCCTCGGGGGAAGAGGCAACAGCCATTGGAAACTGTTAATCCCTATATGTAACAAAAAATTTCACCGTGTAGGTGGTGAAACGCCAGGACAGGGCTTCAGGGAAGTTGTGGGATCTCCATCCCTGGAGATACTTGAGCCTTGTCTGGCCCTGCTCTGAGCATGGGTTTGGACATGAGACCTCCAGAAATCTCATCCCAACTTTGTGACTCTCTGACAAAGCCAGATGGAGGCCATGATGTCTCTGTGAGGTGCCCCAGCTTCTCCTCTGCCACGCAAGCTGCTGTGTCAGACATGCCTTTCTTGGTGTGACAAGCAGAAGTCCCATCGTGCACAGAGGAAAAAACTGATTGATGCCTGCTGGTGTCCCATTAGCAACTTGGCTAACTGGGCTGGCATCCAGGGGGGGCTGCTCGGTGGTGCTTGCCTGGAGTGTGCCTGCTGTGTGAAATCCTTGATCTGGAGAGAGGGAGCGCAGATTGGTTCACTCTCCTCTGTGAGAGCCTCAACATGTGCTGGTCTTTCCCATGCACACCTCCTTAATTCATGTCTAGAAAGGCAGCTTGTTCCTCCAGAGAGTTTCCCTATGTGTCCGTACAAGCAGCTGTGCTCTGTTGGGCACAGGGAGGATTTCATACGGGTAAGGAAATGCAGCTCCTGCCACAGGGCAGCCCTCAGGTCTGGCAGATTTCTGCACAGGCTGTGCCTGCTGGCATTGCCTGGAGAGAAAACTGGGAATGGCCACCTTCTTGACGGGAGATCATGCACATAGAGGTGCAGGATGAACTCCTGGCCTTACTGAAGTAAAGAGAAACATCACTTGGGCTGTGATTTTTCCTGAAGCACCTTGAGGTCAGGTAATCTCCTCTAGCCCACTCATGGAGATCGTTTATTTCTACAGTAGCAAATTATTTCCTTTACGCCTGGATGGGTGGTTGCCATGCCTGTGGTAGCTACGCCAGCAGGAAGGGTGAGATGCTGCATCCAGGGGCAAGCGAGAACTGCACTTACAAAACTACACTGGCACTCAAAACTGCTGGCACAGTCTGCGGCTTGTTCACTCTCTAGCTCCTGGATTTTGTGTATCACCAGCCACATCCTCTCCCCACCACTTGCAACTTCCCCCCACCACTCATTCTGCATATGCGGTGCAATGCCATCAGTTCTTCTTGAATATTTACCTCCTCCGATACCATTCTGCTCAGTTTAAGCTGATGTTCCTCAACAGGTGAGCTGCAAACTCCAAAGGGCTCCCAAAATCCAGCCCATGCCAGATAAGCATAATGTGATGAAATTTTTATTGCACCCTAAAGGGAGGAAACTTCGGTCTGCCCATCCTCCATCCTCCCTGGCCGGGTACTCTCCGCCAGCCTGGCAAAGCCTGCCGCAGCGCATGCTGTAGGCTTCTCACGGTCAGCTTCAACCCAAATTTCTCTGCTGTGCTCGCGATAAATGTTCGCCTAAGGGACGAAGCGAACTGAGGAGGGTAGAGAACACCAAAGGACTGCAGGGCTGCGAGGTCCCTCCACCAGACATTTTCCCTTGCTGAGTACAGGAAATCGTAGATTCGCTTCTGCTTTTCATGGAACTGCTCAACCGCTTTGCTCTCTCTCCAGATTCCCCCAGCAGTTTTACACCCTGCTCCCCACAAACACTTCTGCTTTTAATCACGTTTATAGCTGTCTCGAAGACAATAGTCTGCAGGACCAAAACCCCTGTTTCTCAACCCAGCTATTTCCAACAACCATGTGCACTATATGTAACGCACAGGGAAGTGAAATTGTGAGAGATCCACAAACTCCTCTAAGCAACAGAATTACATTTCTGCCTTCAAACAGCACTGGCATCAGGCTGGGTGACACAAGAGCCAGATCCTGTTTATGCATCTGATCTTTCCACCTATCACCCCTGGCACCTCAGCCAAGTGCAGCTTCACTGCCAAGAAGAGGGGTCTGCCAGCACTTTGCCTCCCCGTGATGCCTCTGCCATCACCAAATGATAGCCAACAGATAACCAAACCCAGACCTCTGCCAGAGGGTCACACTTCAGGTTTGCACAACATGCTGATAAAAGTATTTAAGCCTCAGAAATTTTCACACCTTAGTCAGCATTTCTGAGTGCGGCTGACTTTTACACCCTTTCCTCATGCGAGCAGGGCGTGTTTCCAGCACATGCTGAACCCCAGAGCTGCACGCTGACAATTCTTCTGGCCCAGGGAAGCTGTAGGCTTTGTGGGAACCCCTGTGAAACCCTATGGGCGCGTATGGCTTTCTCACCCTTCAATCCGAGCTGCCACCACCCTCCCCAAATGTAAACGCTGTTGCTTTTGCACGTTTGCGACTACACCCATCTGCTTCTTGCCGGCCGGTGATTCTTGGCAGTCAGATGCAGTTCTTTTAAATCTTAAATACCGTTTCAACAGTGAAGGGGGAGAGCATAGCTAATGCCAGTCTGTGTGGCCGTACAGAAGAGCAGCTTTAGTCTGGGCATCTGATGAGACTGCAAGGTCGATAAAGGGTACTGCACAGGGGAGCTGGGGCTTTGGCACGCACTGGCTGCTCGTTTGATCGTCACATCTCTGCAGCCCAAAGCAACACAGAGCGTGACAATGGGATCTGGGCTGGTTAGCTGTCAGAACTCAAAAGCCAGCCAGCCAGCCGTGGAGGAAGCCTCACTGAACTAGGAATATTGCTAGTAAAAGATCTGTGGGGATGATGAGTTTGAAGCAAAA